GGAGAGGGAGAGAGAAAGACACTGATGCAAGAGATACACATCAATTGGTTGCCTCCTGCATGTGCTCCAACCAGGGCTAGGGATCGAACCTGCAAACCCGGCATGTGCCCTTGACTGGGAATTGAACCTGAGACCCTTCAGTGCGTGGGCTGATGCTCTAACCACTGAGCACCACCAGCCAAGGTCAAAATATCTTTATATTTTAGATAAAAATGTTGAAACTGTGTATTACCATTTTAATAGCACCACCTTTCCCACGATTCTTCACCAGTGTTATCACTCGTATTTTGTCACTTCCATATTTCTGGCAATATTTAAAAGCTACCTGTCAAATTACATAAAAGTGAGAAAAAAATTAACTTGGATTAGAAGATAGTAACAAAGTGGGTTTCTCATTTTGGCTTAAACACTGCTATTCCAGTTGCCCTCTTCCTGTGATGTGATTATACCCACCATGCATTTTGGTGGCCCAGGGGAGCTGCTGAATTCCTGGTGTGAAGATATGACATTGACCTACTGGGCTGAAGTCAGAGTTCACTTTCCTGCAGAGGAACCACCTTAACAGGAAGCTGCTGTCCCTTATTATCTTGATTCCTCTACCTAAGCTACTGAGCTGCCAGAATAAAACAAAATCCATTTGATAATGTACGCACTTGTGACCTGAGCCTCCAATACTGCTTAATGACTTGTTTACTTGTCAGCAACCAATCTTATTCCCCAGAGAGGTTTTTTGAATTCTGGACCATTTCCTTCAAATCTCACTCAAATTTCTTTCTCAGCAGATATCCATTCTATAACTTACCCTTTTCTGAATCTTCAATCTCTTCCTCTCTGCTGGATACACAAGCCTCAAGCGTGCGCAAGACTCCAGCATACTAAAAACTTTCCTTTGATTTCACTATTATCCTAAGAAACTGCCAGTATTCTTTGATTTATAGCCAAAGTCTTGAAATAATGATCTACATCTATTTATATATTCTTTGATTTGTAATCAGTCATGAAATAATGTTCTACATCTATAATATATATACATCTATATATTGCCATCTACATCTCTTCATCACTTATTTAGTCTTCAAGCCATTGCAGCACAGCTCATAACCTTTGCTTTTCCATATCACCCCTCTTAACCTCCTCATGGATGGCACCCTCTCCTTTTGGCACTTATTTCCATGGGCAGTTGTGAAGGTATTCTCATCTGGTGTTTGCCCTCCTGTCAGGCCAGCTTAAGATGAAGTTCAAACTCTGTGTCTTTTTCCTAGCTTCTATGCTCATCCTCAACTTCCTCTCCAGGGAAAAGAAAAGTAATTCTAATATGTTCTAAGGCATTTTCCCATTTAACTTTTACTTCACTCATCACATACTGTAACTGCAGACCTTCCCCGCCAGACAGTAAGCTACTTAAAAGCTAAGATTACTATTTCTAGTGCCTGACACATAGTCTAGAATTGATTAATCTCAATGAACAAATGCAGCCACAGTCCTCTGTACATATTCCTATTATAGCACTGGTAGGCACTGTTGGCTACCTACCCAACAAACAATGCCTCCTTCTTCCTTGCTGTTATGGCCTGTCTTGCATAGTGACAGTGTGTACAGCACCAGGCAATGAATCACGATTGGTCTAAATCTTCTTTGCCAAGTACTTTCTCAGCCCCCCTTGCAGGCATGGGTTGTCATGCCACCAATTCTGGCTTATGAAATCTACTGGAGGTCTGCTGGAGGATAAGGCTTCTGGTAAAGCTTTCTATTTCCAATTAAAAAGGAGAGAGGCACTCAAAGACAAATCTTAATGTCCTGACTGTTTCTTACTGCTTAGGATGTGATGTTTGGATCTCTGGCAATTCTGTGACAAGGGAATATATGAGAACTGAAAAGCTGCTTTTCCTCAGCTGGGCTGATGCTGCTTCTGTAATCTCAGCAGCAATATCTCTCCACATACTAATACTTCTCAGGCATAGTATGTGTTTATATTTTTCACATCATATTTATTATTCAAAGTGCAGCATTTATTCTTCCTGAAAGAGATCCCATAATACTTTTTGGCCTCTATGCCTTTGTTTACACTATTTTTCAACCTGAATATACTATCCTCTATGTTCTTAGTTATAACCACCCTTAAAGGTTTAGTTCAAAAGTCACTTCTCTTTCTCATAAATTCTTTATAGCATTTTATTTTCAGCCCCACTTTTTACCTGCATTGGAGAATGTGTAGGCATGTTGCATGACAGTCCTGAAGGCTTCTTACACAAAGAGGTGGGCTCATGTATTTGTATGGTCCCTCCAGTGCCCAGCACTTCAGTTATAATTGGTATTTTACAAAAACCATTACTGATGAATAATTAAGTAAACAGATGTTTCCCTTTGTATTTATTATAAGGTACATTATGTTGCTATTTAACAAGAATATTATAGCACCATTAAATGAATCTTTTATTATAGAAATAGGAATTATCAAAGAAAAATGCAAAGCATTATTAATAAAAAACATTTAGATGTTTGAAGAATAATTTATCAGGATCACTGGCAAGACTTAATAAACGTACTACTGCAAAAATCAGTGTACTTGGGCCTGGCAGCTACATGTCTAGGAATGGAGAAATGAAAGGGGATAATACTCGAAGACACTGTTACCTCCTTTGGGTAAATCTACATGGGGGTATGACAAAGGACACACCTGCTATTGCGTGGTGATATGAAGGCATCTTCCTGTTTAAATGACTGCTTTAGAATCTGTCAGGCAAGGTGTAGCATAAAGAACAGAATCATGCTTAGGGAAAGAAGAACCATAAACTGATAGGCAAAGAGGATTCCCCACTGGCCAATGCGAACTGTTGTTGTGCATGTTGTCTCTCAACTTGGTGATCTTCAAAGCTTCCCTGGTCTCACAGAACAGTGGAATAGCAGTGGATTTTCCAGCTTTCCATAAATGAAATCTTTCTGCTGCTTCTACTACCCATACTATAACAAAGCTTTAGGCTCTCTTCTGATGAGCAAAACTAAGATTTTACACTTGCTAAATTATTCCATATTTTCTATCTACTGGCAATTCTAAAAGCAAGTTTACTTACCTTTGAAGTCTGGTCTTTGCTGCCATCGTCAACTACTATCACTTCATAAGTGAAAGTAGGATCTTGTTTCTGTAAGAAGCAAAAATAAAATACCATGATTTGGAATAACTGCCATAGAGAATTCTAAAAACATTGTAAGAAATTTAAAAAATAATTGTTTTAGTGTTGAGTATAAAGAAGTGTACAAGCCACATAAAATAAAAAGGCCAGAGCAAAGAAGAGACCCTGGGTGGGAGTAGAGGGCAGATACTGATTAAGTCTCTGTGAGCATCCTGTTCTTCCCATCGCCAACTCTGTACCATGTCAGTGAAGTAACCAGGTTCTTGTGGTGCTGAGCACATCTGAGAGATGCTACCAGGTGTATGAGAAAAAAGCCCAGGAGGTTTGAAGTCAGAGAGTGCAGATTCCAATCTGGATGCACTTCTTAGCCTTATGATCTTAGGCAAGTTAACATTTTTGGCCCATTTTCTCATTAAAAACAAAAAAAAACCTAGTCTATGTGGCTGGTGTAAAGATTATGTGTAATAGAAGAGGTAGAAGCCTCATATACAGTAAGGCCTCAATTCCTTTTCCCTTTTCTTTAAATTTAATTTTTGAGTAGATAATTCAAACTCCTCTCTTTTGATGAGTCTTCTATTTCCCCTTTACACAAAAAACCTAAAACTAAAGTAAATCAAAACAAGGAATTTTCTTTAAAAAGATTCAGCCACAAAGCTTATTTCTTTTCTTAAACTCTTCAAGGAGATTCCAACAGCAGCTGATGATATAAAACAGTGGCACATATTACCCTTCTTTTCTTTAGCAGGGAAAGAAGAGGAAAATAAATGACAGGGGACTCATAAGAATAATAAAGAAATACAAAATAACTTCACCTTAATTATAAGTATTTCAAATAAACTTCTTAAAAAGTCACAAAAGCGAAAAGAGCATTGTGCTGTCACACAAAGTCTGAAGACACTCTATCACTCAATTTTTATGTATATCATCAGGTAAGAGAGTATAAAAAGTAGGTAGGCAGGTACATAAGAGAAATTTCAGCTTTACAGTTTGCTCTTGGGTCATCCACCTGCCTCTGGAGGTAGTAGGCTACATGCTGGGCTTGCCTGGCCACAAGCTGAGCACAGGGAGGCCAGTGATAATGATGGCCCAAGCAGGGCTGACACTGCCCCTCACAGTGGATATGGTCTGGGGTCCACAAGTTGGTGACCTGGCCTAGTTTTAATTGGAGACATTATATTGAAAGAGAAACCATAATACCTGTCTCTCTTCTAGATAGCCCAGAGCTTCATCCATCATTATAGGCACTTAAAGAAAAAAAAAAGTATATTAAAAATTGCTTTTGAAAATGATTTATCAAATTCTAACATACTCAGAGTTTACTTGTGGAATAAATCCGTATAATCTAAGGGGCTCCTCTGGGACCTTCCTGCACTACTCATTTTCATTTGGAACACTTGTCAACTGTTCACATCTTACTCATTACTCCTCCAGAACACTTCCATTTCATTATTTCATGCTGCTGCTCATGGCTCACAGCTAATATTCTCTTCCCCTTTTCTGAGCTGCAACTACCAACAAACTAGACCACATCTACTAATGTTCTGGGAAAGAGAGTAAAATCCAATACTATAAATTTTCATTTCTTCCCAAATCATCCCTTACCAGAAAATCAAATAAGGCTTACACCGTTTTTCTTCATTGTATGAAGGCACGACAATAGAAAGTTGTTTAGTAGGTGAGTCCCTTATGCTGGGTAGAGTTTCCTTCTGTCCTCTGGCATTTAAGAAGAACTTTTCTTCTTCATGTCGATGAAGGGGTGGCATTTCCGTAGCAGTTATAAATGCAACAAAGGAAATCTAAAAGCAGGTATGTTAAAAAAATAAGTTGTTAGGTTGACCTCTTTTACATTCATTATGTTTGAACACTGTATCACTTATGTGATTTTTTTTTTCCCCCTTTGTTGAAATATTTATTCTCAGTTTTTAGTCCATTAACAATGGTCTTGACATGACTCCAAAATTCAAACCAGTCTTAAGAATGATGATTGTCCTATTATCCATAGTAAGGTATTAATACCTTAAGAGGCTCTTTGTCTCTTCCTATCTGTCATTCCCTAGGCCTCTGTCATCCCAAATCTAATAGGGAACAAATTACAGAAGTACGATCCGCTCACTGTGCGGAGTTTAGATGCACCAAACTCCCAATCCCGGGCATATACACAGTGAGGTTCCATCCCTACTTGGAGCCTGTATGTGACAGAGGACAAGTTCATATAGCAGTTGGAACATGTGGGATGAGGGCAGACCTCCCATCCAGGAATGGGTCCACCCAGGGTATGAAGAGAAGATTCTCCCAATCCCCATAGTGGGGCCTGGTAATGCTCAAAAATTTTTGGTACTTACCCCAGATTTCAACTCAGAATACAGTATTTTCTGGAGTAAAGTATCAAACTTGTAGGCTATGTATCAAATATTGGTAGGTGCCATGTACTACTACTATTATATAGCTCCCTTCCATATGTGATTAGGAACTAGCTCTGGAAATAACAATTCCTTGCAATAGTGTTTCTATTGGCACACTTTCTGCTTTCTAAATATTTAGTCTACATATTTTTGGGATGTTACTCATTTGTAATTTGACAACCATTTATAATATTCCATTGGGTACATACTGAAATTGCATATGTTTTTGACTGGTGAGCACGGACAATAACCAGACTAGTAGGTCAGAGTTACTGCTCTGCACACCTGGTGTCCAGATTGTGTTTTCTAAATTCCATCTCCCACTAAAAGCAATCCAGTGCTCCTAAGAGGAATGGATGATTCAGGTATGGGGCAGGAAATGGGCAATGGAGGAATAGCATATCAATGATAATGAGGGCCATGCAAAAGGGACAAAGTAGCCAACTTGAGGTGCTCTCATTGGCTTATGATGGGAGGATTTGAGCATCAAATTACTGCAATCCATTGAAACAGATTAAAATATATATATGTATTTTTTTAATCCTCACCTGAGGATATTTTTTCCATTGCTTTTTCAGAGAGTGGAGGGAGAGAGAGAGAAACATCGATGTGAGAGAGACACATCGACTGGTTGCCTCCTGCACTCGCCAAGACCAAGGCCTGGGATTGAGCCTGCAACTGAGGTACGTGCCTTGGCTGGAATCGAACCCAGACCCTTTAGTACGAGGGACGATGCTCTAACCACTGAGCAAAACTGGCTAGGGTGAAAATATTTTAAATCATGGATTCATAATGATACTAAAAATAAAAAATTAATTGGTCACCTTTGTAAGATGCCAGGAAACTATGTCATTATTTTGAAAACTGGCTTTCTATCTTACCTTTTATGTATGAATGGTATTTCAGGTTAATTGATAGCTGAGGATTAAATTATTTTTCATTACAGATTTCTAATATATGAAAAAGGAATGATACAATTAGAATATTCTACTTTTTCCAGTGAAATAATGGATTTAGGTATACTCCCAGTGAAATAAGGATTTAGGTAGTGGTCATCAATGACTGCTAAAACCATTAGGTAAATGATAAATTTTTTAACTGGTGGGTCAGACTAACAACATCTTAACACCAGAGAGATCATACATTATACGTCTCCTGATGAGATAAAAGAGGAAGTATTCAGCATCACTCACACACTTTTCTTGATTAAAAAACTCAAACATACATTTCATCAAGTCTCTAGATGTAACTACTAGTTTACAAGAAATTCAGGAGACAGAGTAAGATGTTAAAAGGCACCACGTGCGTACAGCCAGTAAAATGCAGACTGTGAGAAATTCCACAGGAAAAATGACCACTTGTTAAAGATAAGGGGGGAAAAAAGGGAAGAGAAATTGTTATAGATTGAGCCATACCAATGAAATGCTAAGTGTGTGTGAATGCTGACCGGAAAAAACTTGCTAAGATATACATGAGACATTGGAACTGGTGGGGTATTTAAAACCACTAAGTAATGGTTAACATAAAAAAATTATTTGTGAGAATCCTACTGCCATTATATTTTAAAAGGGTTCCTATCTTTAGAGATAAACGCTATGGCTTTACAGATAAAATATTATGTCTTGGATTTGCTTTAAAATAATCCAGAAAGAAGTGGGGTGGGGAGAAAGTATGTATGGAAGGTGGATATATATATAATATACATAAAACAAGATTAGTGGGGGTTTTTGGGTAATAATTACCTGCTCTGGTATTTTATTAATTTATTTTTAAATATATCTTTATTGGTTTCAGAGAGAGGGAGGGAGAGGGAGAGCTGAAACATCAGTGATGAGAGAGTCGTCATTGATCGGCTGCCTCCTGCACAAACTCAACTGGGAATCGTGCCCACAACCCAGGCATGAGCCCTGTCTGGGAATCCAACTGCCATTTCCTGGATCCTAGGTCGATGCTCAGCCACTGAGCGATGTCGGGCAGGGCATGCTCTGGCATTTTTAAAAAAGTTCCACAAGCTGTGTGACATCTGAGTGTATGAGTTCTTCTCTCTAACCTGTTTCTTCACCAGTTGAATGAAGCTAGTAACATTTGTCAGTGTTGTTTTAAGATCAAATTGGATAATCCTGTTAAACACTGAATATAATACCCAATATATTGTAAGTACTCAATAAATAGTAGCTCTTATAATCACTTCAAATAGTTCCAGTACAAACTCAATGTACACATGTAAATCTGGAACAGATTCAACATAAGGCAGATCAATCTATGATTTTTGTCAAACCCTGCCATGCCCACAACCTGATTTGCTCAAAACCCTGAAAAAATCTAAAATCTCCATATACCATTAAGGGAAAAAGAGGACTCCTCTCTCATTCAGACACAAATCACCAAAGAAATCAGGATACAGTGCTTTTTCTCTATCTAAACTGTTTCTAAGCTGTGAGTTTATAGACTTTCTGCCAAGACGACAGAGAGGCCTTCCTGGCTGCTAATCTGAATGTCAAGGAAGCTGAAACCCCTCCATTAACTAACTACAGAGCAGGCTCATTCCAAATTATATGGGGAAAAGTTCTTGGCAGACTTTCTACTACTTATGGATCAGCAAGTATTTACAATCTTTCTGTGTTTCCACAATAATGGCAAAGAAAATCTTAGCTTGAATTCTACTGTACTGCATCATTTTGAGGCAGCAAATTTAGAGTGTTTAATTCTGGCACATAACCACCCCCAAGCAGACGGTAACATCAGGCTTGGTCTTTCTGTGTTCCTGGTGGGTCTTCTTGGTCCATTAATTTATTCCAATTTGTAACATGACCTTTGTTAGTGCTCTGCCACCGCTATTTGCTTAGCCACATGAGGAAAAGGGAGTCTAGAGAGCACTCACCTTCTAGGGACTCAAGACCTCTCCAGCGGGGCCAGAACTGCACAAGCTGCAGACCCTGGAGGAAGTCTTGGAGAGGTTGGGCAGCGGGTCCGGGGCCACGAGGGAGAGTGAAGAGCGGGTGGGCACGTCCCAAAGTGAACAAACAAAAGTACAAGGCTCTGGGTACGTAGGGAGATGGAGCTCCAAAATAAAGATGAACACGGAAGAAAGGGGGCGTGAAGTTCAGAAGAGGAATTCGGGGGTCAAGGCTTGGGGGGAAGCACGGTGAAAGACACCGGAGAGCCGGCAGAGCGGACAGCACGCCTGGGCCCTGTCTTCAGGAGAGCAATGAACCCAGGCCCTCGTTAGTCCCCAGTCCCTCTTCTCACCAGTATCAGGGCTACGGCCACCAGCAGCACACAGAGCACCGCGCCGAGCACCACCAGCTGCAGCGGGAGCGAAGCCATCCTCCATGGCCCAGCTGCAGACGCCGCCGCCCTATCCAGCACTTACACACTTGCGGAAGCCGGTCCCAAAGCCCCGCCTCCCTTCGGCAGAGAGGCTGCGCTGGCCCGGCACCTGCTGCCCACAGCGCCCTCGCGCGGCGAAGTGAAGAACACGTAGTATTTGTGTGCTGGGTTTTCAGTACCGAAGTAAGGTTGCCAGAATTAGCGAGTAAAAATACAGGCTGTCCACTTAATTTGAATTTCAGATAAGCAAGTTTTGTTTTGTTTTTTTTAACAGCCTTATTAATATCTAATTTCCACACCATACAACCCTCCCATTTAAAAGTTTTGGTGTGTTACGTAATTTTTTAAAACTCAGATAATCTTTTTATATTTTAACCATTTTAAATGTGCAATACAGTGGCATTTGTTACATTTACAATTTTCTGCAACCATCACCATTATTTCTAAAACTCTCACCCACTCCCCCAGCCCTTGCTAAGAACCACTAACATACATCACTGGGAGCATACTCATAGTAGGAAATTACTTTTTGTTTATCTGACATTCCAATTTAATTGTTCTTTACTTTATCTGGCAACGCTGTCCAGAAGGGAGGTGAAGCCTTGAGCCATGACACAACCTACAAAACCAGCAGCTCCTTTGGAGCCCGCCCCGCGAACTTGCAAAGCATAACCTGGAGCGGATAGTGAGCGCACAGGAAATTTACCTAACCTCCGGTGCTGGAGGTGGGAGCTCTTTACCTGGGAGAATAAAAACTCGGGCCTAGCCTAAAACAAAAGTGGGAAAAGGGCGCAGAAACTTTACAGTAATGCTTCACACTCAATACTGGATTATATGCTAATAAATTCGGTTTTCTCTTAAACTCCTGAACTACCACAGTTTCTAAGAAGAGACGTTCAACTCTAATAGCGGATTCGTCAAAACGCGTAGAAAGCAAGGAAACCTAGAGAGGCTTCTAGCTAGGGACTGTCGAAACAAAGGCGAGCCAGGAACCACCCCTGCTACGCCCTGGCTTTTACGGTCTCCACGTTGGGGCCCACTGGCGTCCTAGACGAAAGTGTGGAGGCGGAGCAAGCGCCGGGCCGGGAGGCTGGATGTCGCTCGCGCAGGCGCAGGCGCAGGCGCAGGCGCAGGAGCGCGGACGGGAAGATGGCGGCCGGGTTCAAGTGAGTATTGGCCCTTGGTGTGCTCGGGTTTATGCCCTGGCGGATGGCGGCTTCTCTTAACCCTTAGCTGGGATTTTCTCTACCCCCGCGGATGCCAGGGGTTAGGGAGGACCTGGAGGTGGTCGTAGGGAAAGGAAAGGGGACTTCTTTCAGCCAGTGAGACTGATGGGTCTGTGTGTAGCGAGATCAGTACCCGCTGAGAGTATTATCGGTGGAGGTGGGGTGTCCTCTTCCCCATTGGGTACTTGGGTTGGAGTATTTGACCTTCCCTTTTCTCCTGTCCTGTTATTAGTAACTTGGTTAATTTCAACGGTATGACGAGCACTGCGGCTTGGTAGTGGACATGCAGCCCCAGGAGCGACAGTTGTATGTTTCTGAGAGAGCGTTGCATCACAACCACATGCCACTGCATTCTCCTCCCGTAATTTATTTCTAAGAGGACTGTGCCTTGTTGGCAAGATTTTTACATAGGCGTGTGTGTGTGTGTGTGTGTGTGAAGCCTATAGCTTTTCTTTCTTGGTCAGGTTTTTAAGCCGATAAATAGGATTCCAAAGGAAACCAATTGTATCGAAACAGTTATCTATTTGTATAAACTCCCCAGTGTATGATACAGTGCTTTAAAATTAACTTTCTTAAGCAAAATCTACCGGGGAGTCTATAACTCCTGAAATTTAAAAGTAACGATTAGTACACATTCCTTCGACAATTAAGTAAAAACGAAAACCTTCGGTGTCTGTGGTGGTTAAAGTCGCAGGTACTGCTAATATTTTAATGGTTTATTGCCCACAGTCGTAATTGATGGCTGTGCTAAATTTCAGTTATAGGATAGTGAAAATAAAGATGTCACTTTATTTCATGCTAAGAATCCTTGCTTCCGAGCGAGTGTGACAACACCTGAATTAATCGTCTTAAAGATGCCCAAAGGCTTTGGGCTCCAGTCCTGTAATTGTTTAAGGCAGAGTTAAGGACAGCATTTAAGTGGGATTGCTACAGCAAGAGTATCTACTTTTTATAATTAGTTATATGTGGCAACGTACACATTATGAATTTATGAAGGAAACTTACACGTTGTGGAGATTTATTCCGCATCATTACACTTTTAAGATCTTTGCCAGTTTCTGGGTTTATGTTGATTCATTAACGTCAGATATATTTTTAACACGTTTCAGAACTGTGGAACCTCTGGAGTATTACAGGAGATTTTTGGTGAGTAAAAGTGGTTATGTAGATGTCACGCCTTTTGATAATATATGCTTTAAAAGACAATTTTCATATACAGTATACAAATATTCATTGTTATGTTGTACACCTGAAACTAGTGTTTTAGGTCAATTATACCTCAAAAAAATTCAAATTTCAACTAACAAAGTTTAATGTGTTTTCCCAGGTTCTGTGTGAAATGTACGTGTAGATGTAATTTACTTTCATATATATTTATTTAGAAAGAGAACTGCCGTCCTGATGGAAGAGAACTTGGTGAATTCAGAACCACAACTGTTAACATAGGTGAGGATATTTTGAGTTCTATAATAGACTGTTGAAATTGCTTCAGTTTCGAAAATAGAATTTTTCTTGTTTAATGCTAGTATTTTTATTTGTAAAGGTTTTTTAAAACTCACTGTTCTCTCAATTTATATGCTCTTTAAAATTTTAAAGTAACTATAAAGAGTTTTTCCCCCTTCCTTCCATACCTCCAACACATGGATTTTTATGTTGTAAACTTATTAAACCTGTTGTTTCAAACATGGAATTTTCCAGTTTTACCTGTACAGCATTCCCAAATTTTAGCCTCTAAGCCACTTACACAGTATTTTGGCCAAATTCTACCATGTCTAAGGGATTCCATTGATTTTGTGTGGAGAGATTTTTATCTATGCAGTGCTGTGACTGAATGAAAAATGATTAACTCAAATTCAGGGGCAGGTGAATAATTCTTAAAACAGTAGTTTTAAGTAGTTATACCACTTTAAAGAACCTTGAGCTAGTAATAAATTTCATAAGCAACTGACTTAATGTAGCAATATAAAATCATGTAGAAAGCGAAAACACTTCATGTGTGGACTTTTTCATTTTGCTTAAATACTTATCTTTTTAGGTTCAATTAGTACTGCTGATGGTTCTGCTCTAGTGAAGCTGGGAAATACTGCAGTGATTTGTGGAATTAAAGCGGTAGGTTTAATAATGTCTTAGCAGAGTTACCAGATTATCTTCATATACTGATTAGATTGTAATATACACTAGTAATTCTGTTGACTAGGCAGTCAGGTGTCAGCTTTTACTATTTTTTCATGTCCCAAGAACTTTCATCTTTGAGTATTAGATAATACGACTCAAGTTTAATGATTCAATTATAATTCATGGATGTTCATCAAATGTACTGAAATAAAATAATTTTCAAAATTCTACCTTTAATTTTTTAAGAATTTGAGTGTCATTTGAGAAATTGATTTTTGGTAACATCTTTTTATTCAGTGGTGGCATTTGTGTAGAAAATTGAGAATGTTCAAAAGAAAGTCTTGAGGGAATAAGAGCTACCATGTACTTATTACCTGTTATGTTTCAGGCACCTTGTATTAGTTGCTTTACAGAATTAATTTTAGTCCTCAGAACAGTCATTTGAGGTATAATTTTTGTCTCCTGTTTTACATGAGTTTCAGTAACTTGTCCAGGAACATAAGGCTCATAAATAGAACTTCTGACTGCACTGCACTCCTACTTTACCTAAGTTCAGATTCTTCCTCGGTAAAGCTGGGGTGATATCTAATAAGATTTGAACACTGACTGCCAAGTTTTATATTAGGGATTTAGCAGCATTATCTCATTTGACCCTCGTTAACAGTCCCTAAAGTAGGCCACATTAACTTCCCATTTTCCAGATAAGGAAATTGAATGGTAAGAGGTTAAGAAATTTAAAGTGTCACAGCCAAAACGTGTGGGTCTGACATATGAAGCATGTCATTCCAGAGCTCTTGCTTAGTTCCTGTTACCATCATTTCCTAAATTTGGCTGTGCCAGTATCACACTGAGTTTAAATTCAGATTCTTGGCTACTGAATTGTGAGAGTGGAGCATTTGAAATCCAAATTTTAAAAAAATTTTGATGGGTAGCACTCTGGTATTGTTAACTATGCTCTACTGCCTTATTACTGCAGAGCTAATGTGAGGGTTGGTGCCAGTAGAGCCCCTGACACAACTCCCCAAGCATAGATGCTCATAATGTGATAGTTAACTAGTTAATATGGTCTTTGGTAGAGCCTTCCATAACTGATGGCTATCTTTACAATTTTTTAGTAGCTTCTTTCATAGGAAACATTTGTTTACTTCTGTAGGAATTTGCAGCACCCCCAACAGATGCCCCTGATAAAGGATATGTTGGTAAGTTATATGGTTTTGTAATTTTAATACAAATGCTTTAACACATTTAATACTAATATTGTAGTTAAATCCTAGTAGTTGAGAAAATTATAATAATCAGAAATATACAGGAATGAAGCAGACATTCCTGAAGTTTTCTGTTAGAAGATAGCATAACAAAATAGAGAATTTAAAAAATTTTTCAAACTTGTTCCATTTTTGTTTATACATTAAGATGTCATCAACCAAGAAAATAGAATCTCCTAGGCAAAGGGCTGTAATTGCACTTTCCTGTTTTCATGTTCTTCATCTATACCACGTGATTTTTTTTTTTTTTAATCCTCACAAGAGGATATGTTTTTATTGATTTGAGAGAGAGAGGACAGGAGAGAAACATCAACTGGTTGTGCCTCCAGCGCACACCCCACCCAGGTATCAACTCGAAACCTAGGTATGTGCCCTGACCAGTAATCGAACCTGCAACCTTTTTGTGCGTGGGATGTTCCTACCAAGTGAGCCATCTGGCCAGGGCCCACTATACGATTTTTTTCTTGACTTGGACCATCTGTTCTTTATGGTAGGAACCAACATTTTTAAAATGCAGAACAGTAGGGTATGAGTAGAGAGGGGCTACCTTCGGCTACAGATTGAGGTGTTTTGAAAGAATCTAGAACACTTGCAAAAAGATTTAAACATTAAGTGCGCTTTTTTGGTATTTGTGTGGTAAAATGTCAGAAATACAAGATTTTATTCTATCCAAGCTTAACAGTCTTATAAAAACTAAAAACAATATAATTAATGTTACGGTTCTTTCCACTTGGAAAAACCTATCTATGGCTATAGTACGCTTGCAGTGGTTTTACCTTTATTTAACACTTCCATAAACCAGAAGTGAAGTTTGTTTCATAGTTTCAGAGTGTTTCTTTCAGTTCCTAATGTGGATCTACCACCTCTGTGTTCATCGAGATTTCGGTCTGGACCTCCTGGAGAAGAGGCCCAAGTGGCTAGCCAGTTCATTGCAGATATCATTGAAAAGTAAGATAATCAGGATAAAATATGACTACCATTCATTTTCAGTTTTGACCTTTCATTTACTGTGTTGTTATTAAATCAAGTTCACAGATAATTCAGAAAGAGGACTTATGCATTTCTCCAGGAAAGGTAAGAGAAATAAAGAAGCTATGAACTTTTTTTTATTTATGAAGTGTTTTATGGGGAGTAGATATGGAAATTAACAAACCACAGTAGCCTTTACACTGCAGATGTCTTCATTGTTTTTAGGTGGAATTCAGTAAAAACATTCCTTTTCTGTAACTATGTAGTTTGTAAAAGACAACCAGTTTTGACTAATTTGTTGCCTGACTTGGAGCTACATTAAGCTGAGGTTAATTCTTTATAATATTCTTTTTTAATTCCTTATATCATATTGATATCTGATCAGCTAATCCACACTGTAAATTCCAAGTCTATTTGAAAACTTAGAACTAAGCTGACTAGAACCTATAGGCTCTTTCTATTTGATTACATATTTATTAGCTTGTAAAACCTAAGCATGCAGTGTATTAAGGTTTCTTTGGGAAAATATATTTTGATTTTCATTTGAGACTTTCAAAAGTATTTCCCTCATCTGCTGAGTTAGCAACAGGAATGGAAATGTTTGTCTCTTGTCAGCTTGGTAGTCAAAAGCCAGCTTTTACAAAACGTCCACTTTTTTTTGACTGACTTCTTAGAGGTTTTTTTTTTTTTTTGGTAAGTTTTTGAGCCTTGAAGGTTATCTTGCTTAAGTGTTCTGTGGTAAGTTGACCCAAATACCATGTTCTACCCATCTGAAGGCTTTAATTTACTTTGTGTAAACTCTATTTTAGCTTGCTTGGGTTCTATACTGTGATCTCATTTGCCTCGACTATGATGGAAATATTTTGGATGCCTGTACATTTGCTTTGTTGGCAGCTTTAAAAAATGGTAAGCAACCTTAATAAAAGGCAGTATTCCTTATGTGTCAGAATATTCTGTCTGTTTTGTTAAACTTCCTCAAACTTTTTAGGTTTTTGTTATGATTCAGCTATCATTCATTTTAGTGTTTCTAAATTAATAGCTATGTTTATATATACTGCATTTATCTTAATGTTCTAAAATAAGTTTTCTAAGAGTACTTCTGGACAAGTTAAACAGGGAAAAGTGAATTAAGAAAGCATAGAAAGCTGTATTTGTTACTTACACTAGAGACACAACATATTTGCCTCTTTCTAGTACAGTTGCCTGAAGTTACTATGAATGAAGAAACTGTAGAAGTTAATTTAAAGAAGAAAAGTTATTTGAACGTTAGAACTCATCCAGTTGCTACCTCCTTTGCAGTATTTGATGAGTAAGTTAAATATATAAAAATTGTGTATTAAGTATTCTTCTAAAAATGTTTCATGGATTGATAATTTATACTTCAAAAAATTTTTAAACAGCACTCTGCTCATAGTTGACCCTACTGGAGAGGAGGAGTATCTGGCAACTGGAACCCTAACAGTAGTAATGGATGAGGAAGGCAAGCTATGTTGTCTTCACAAACCAGGCATGTTCCTTCTATTTCAGTCCTAAATATTTGGATGAAAAACTCTATGTGAACTTTTTACACTGGTGGAGGGGGTGGGGGTGGGCCAAATGAAATGTGGGATGTTTTACTGTTTACCTAATGCAGCAAGTTTAGGATGACAGTTTGTTACCTCAAATTCCTTACATTTTTATATTGTGTACCAGTGGTTCTTAAACTTATAACATGAATTGGAATGACTTGGAGGTCTTAAAACAACTTGGCAATCTTAACCATACCCCTGGTTTACATGACTGAAGTTTTTGGTTTATAACTTGACATGACGATCATTACAAGTAAAGTAACATATATTAAAAGTGCTGGCACAATAATTTTTCAGGTGGAAGTGGGCTGACTGGAGCTAAACTTCAGGACTGTATGAGCCGAGCAGTTACAAGACACAAAGAAGTAAAAAAACTGATGGATGAAATAATTAAGAGTATGAAACCCAAATAACCACATTTTCAAAATATATTTGTAAAAACTGTATTTGTTACACTGTGCACAAATCTTTTATACTAAATAAATATCAAATTACATTCTTCCGAAAGATGTTTCTAGTATTTCTTAGGCCACTTCCACTTGTATTCTACATGTATTATGTACAGTGAAACAATTTTGAAAAAGCAGTGACTTAAACCAACCCTAATGGTTTATTAAAGCATTTCCCTGTTTTTATTTAAAAATCATAGGGTTGTGCTTATGTATAAAGTCTGTACATTAAGCAATGTAAAATACTGGTATGTTTTTAAAAACAAAAATGAAGTAGAAACTCAGATTCCTTTTGATTCATTGCTCTTACATTTTTAAAAAAGAAAAATTAATGCAAGATTCAGAATTTTGGAGTGGTTGGTGTGCCTCTCTTCGTTTTACTTTTTGACTGGCTGCCTGTATGCCGTTGACGATGTAGCTGAGGTGTTTGTGCTGCTGCTGCCATAGCCATTTGATGCTGCAAGAATCGCAACTGCTGCAAAAGGGAGGAAGGAAATAAAGTTATGTAAATGTAGGCAGGTATAAAAAGGTGCTTTTCCTGAGAGTGATGAAAACAAAAATGAAAGGGAGAAAGCACATTCAGACAATGCACAGTCAAACAGCACCAGTGGCACAGAAGCCTGCTGAGGGCTTTTAAAATGGTTCTTGGTAAACTTCAAAAATATTTCTGTTTGCCCTGCCAGTCTATATTGCAGTAACTCAGCAACTTCAGTTACCATTTTGTTGTATAGTAGTTTATAGCAATCTAAACCACCCTGCATATTAAAGATAGTCAACTATAATATGCTGACTTCCTAAGATAATGGAATGACATTTTTCTAAAACAGGTATGGCATTTACTAATAGGAACACTGGAATACTTGTCTTTTTCTGCAGTACAAGTTAACCATTGGCACTGATGACTGTCTCTATTTCAAAATATAATGCAAACTACAAAAATGGATGTTAATGTGCCACCAGCACTTCATAAAGATTTTAAATTAAGAAAAGTATGGTTTAAATGTACAAAGTATATTCAGTGCTCCAAGTTGACTGGCTAAAATAAAATATCAGACTTTTAAGTAAAATTTGCTAAGTTATTTACCTATTACTATATAGTCTTAAAAAACAGTAAAATAAAACTAAGGTACTTTTGGAGCAAAGTATCTTTAAAATGTAATCAGAGTGAAGTTGCTGGATTACTTGTATCTGTTGCTGCTGCTGTTGAAAGGCAGAGGAGAGCTGGAATCTCTGCTGAGGAAGGCTTTGCTCAGGTGTGTTCTCGGCAGAGCCAAGCTGAGACAACACTACAGAGAGGAGAAGGGGAAAGCAGGCCAGTCAAAAAGTTTGAAGGCTACCAGGGTTAGAAAAGGACAACACAGAAAATGAAATAGAAAAGTTATCAGTATGATTACTCTTAAGTATCAAATCACAGACATTTAAGAATAAATTTAGTCTCCTGTTAGTTGAGGGTACCACTGATTATAGAACTTTCTGGCATAAAAGGGAAGGCAGTGCACATGGGCTAAGCACTGTATCCCTTCTTTTATCTCAGTGGAATTTGAAAACAGTGCTATTTTGTTGAGAAGACTTTCTTGCAAAATGTAAAATACAGTACATGATTTTAAAATATAACCAATGAAATATAAAAGGGGGCAGGAGAAATCCAAGCTACCATAATGACATAACTGGTAGACAAGTGCTTTTAAGAAAGATGTTGCAGTGAATATCAGACTAAGCTAGTAGCAACAGAGATGGTGAACTGAGACTGCATTATTCCTTTCTGAGCTAAGTGGGACCACAATAATCAGTTCAACCCTCTCACTGGACAAAGAAATTTCAGGCATAGATGGTTTGAGTGACTCATCACTCAAGTAATTAGTGGCAGGTAGGTCTGGAGCATGGACGATTTTTCAGCCTAGAGTTCTTTCCACTAAATTACACTACCAATACTTTAGAAAATATACACCTTGTGTGGTAAAAATTTATAATAAATTTCCATTCGAAAATTCACTAGCTCTAAATTAGAACTACATGTAAGGCTTTGACATTCTAAATTCAGACACTGGGAGTTAGTTGTATAGAATTCTAAAGGTACCACAGTAGGTCCAATGATAATTCTAAGTGCTGACATGCTCACTCATTCAATCCTCAAACTGTAATTACTGTCTTCAATTAACAAGATAATCTCCATTAGAGGTAAATCTTTGGTTCAACATTTACTGTTAGAAGTGGTAAGCAATCAATTTTTTTTACTAATGAAAAAAGTGGCTTATAGAAGTTATGTTATTGACATTAGATCTTAATTCATGCAAGTATAAACTACCAGAAAGAGACGATTATGCAACATATAAATGCCCAGAAAAACTGAAGAGTTAACAACTTTGGTAGCTTCCTAGTATGTTGGATAACTATATAAAATTTTGCCAACAAATTATTACATGAGAAAACAACTGCTGTTAATATGTAGATGAAAGTACTTTTAATTAACTGTCATTGGAAAAAAATCTCAGGGCTATCAATAAATTCATTTAATAGTTCACACATTAAATATAACTATACTTTTTCCTAGTTAATGCTTTCAATAAAAGGAAAAATAATTTAAAAGGTGAGATTTCAACTAAACACTTAGTAAACTAAATATACAAAGTCATGAAGATACCAACCAGCTGCCTGTGACTGCATAAAACTTCCTACTCCAGCAAGATTAATAATAGCAGCATGCTGAGCAGATAAGGCCTGTTCTTGACTGGTTGAGCTTTGTTCAGAACCCTGAAGAAAAAAAATCATACATGACTTGTATAAAAAAAAAAAAAGTCTGTGTTGGTAAAAAGAAATTAGTATTTTTCCTATATGTGAAAAAAATACCAATACTAGATTTGGTCTTGTAAAAAGAGTAACAAGGAAAAGACTTCAAAGGTATTTAAATTAGCAAGAACACATTTATTGTATTTTGAAAGGAAAAGAAAACCCAATTTTCCAGAACTGATTCTGTACTGGTTTACTGTTGGATGCTCTATTAATAATTCATAAGATTTCTCTATAAAGCTTCATCAAAACTATCTTTTAAAGTTTAAAACATCGTATTGAAATTTCCAGCGAGCACAGTAAGTCCAGAAAAGGAAATAAGACGGTTATACAGATTTTTTAGTTTCCCAAATGATTCCAAAGTATAGCAAAGGTTCAAAAAAGCCCTGTAGTTCCTTCTAGGTTAAATTTACTATAACTCTTACTCAATTTCATTCTGTTTGACATTATAGAAGTATTCGTTTTTGTCTATCTTCCCTTTACCCTAAGCTTCATAATAGGAACATCTCAATTCTAAGAGACAAAATACTGTAAGCAGAAGAATGCTAACTGGGTAGAAAATACAAGCCTATGGGGCAAAAAGACCTGGGTTTGAATCCCTGCTCTGCCACTCACTTGGCTGTGAGCAAGTAACTCATCTGAATTTCTTTCATACCACGAAGATGGTGTGAAATAATTAAAAAGGTGAGATTCCAACTAGATGTATTCAGTATGGTGGTGTGAGAATTAGAATAACTGACAGCTTCTGATGTTAATAAAGAAAAATAGTATAGGAAATGTTAGTTGAAACACTAAATAAATAAATGCACTTGAAAAGTGCTCAGCATATACAAAATAAGTTACAATTCTATAATACAAAGCATATGGTAGGCTAGAAAAGCACATACCTGCTCCCCTGGCTGTTGACTAGAAGTTGTGGGTTGAGGTTGGGGTGTAAACTGAGAGAGCTGCTGCTGCTGCTGCTGCTGCTGCTGCTGCTGCAATGTGTTGAAAATTAGTGAACCACCTGGAAGCTATTAAGAATTTAAACAAGACTTAATTAGTAAATTTCACACTTAAATTTCTTTATTCCACAAGTATTTTCACTATGTGTCAGGCATTTTTCTAGGGATTGAGGAACAGGTAAACAAAAATAACAAAACAAGATCCCTACCCATAAAAAAAAAAAAAAAAAGATTTAAAAACAATTTTTAAGTGTTATTACTAAGGGCTCTCAAGTATGTTAATGCTATCAAACATAAGTCATTCTGCTTCAAGTTAGTGACACATCCAAATATACACACTGCTTTTATTTAACTCTTTTTTATACCTCAATACAAAACAGCATTAAATGGATTAGAAAGTACAAACAAGAAGCTATTGAAAATCAGAGATATACATTAAAACCCATCTCTCAAAATTTGTTTTAGCTTTGCAAATCCGAGGACTGCACGGATGCTTATATAACATAGTGAGAAATTCCAAAGCTGAAAAGAAAGTGCATTAGATGTCCATATTTAGTTTGGAGACATTATTTACTCTGTCACTCAGAATCTAAATTCAAATTTTTTAAAAAAAGTTGTTTTAAAGAGGCATTCAGAAAAATCCATGTTAAAAATTAAAACTAGGCATTCCAAATGAATTAGGAAGCAAATGGTTTTTCTATTTTATTCTATAGGGGTTTACGTTATAAGCATTTTGAAGTCCTTAAGACAAAGTCCAAATAAATACCAAAGACAGATTTCTCAGGTCTGTATATAAAAAATAACAAATAAAAAAGGTGTCCTTGGGTCAAAATCTCTACAACCAGCACTGCTTATTGTTAAGTAAATTTGGGCATAGTACAGGTCAAATTTTCCTTCCTCAATCAGTTAACAAATATAGCAAAATATAATTAATTTACATGTTGGCTTTGTCTTTATTTCTTCTTATTGTTCTATTAAGGAATTCCATTCTTATCACTGAGACTAATCCCTGACAGAACTTCCAACTGCAATATACAGGAAAGTTGAATAAAACAGTGTGATCTGTGGTTTATTCACATTACAAGTAAATTGTTCTGCAATTACAGTCTGTAAATAGTGACAATGTTTGCATCTTGGATAAGAAATAAGTTTTTAAGTTTTGGCTCTAAACACATTTCCTGATTTGTTATTTCTGAATACCAGGTTGGGTTGATCTATTACTGTTATTTCCCAATGATGCACAGCTCTGCCATTTTGTGTCTCCAGATCTTTATTCTTGTCTACCCTTTCTAAATTCTCTGTAGATAATTGTACCCACTTTTCAACCTAGGTTAATACTAGAGTCCAACCCTTATAAAGGACCTAGAGTGTAACACCCCAAATATTATAAGTTCACATTCAATGTGTACTAATTCTCCACCTTTGGTCTCTCTTTATATGTTGCCTATGTCGACATATAACATGTATAAGAAAAGCCTCATCATTAGACACAAACTGTAATCTAACAAACATTTACCAAATGACTATTAGGTGCCTGGCACTGTGCTAAGAAATCATTCTCCTCAGGAAAATAACACAGAGCTATTTTAAAAATCTCTATTCAAGCACAAAATCTGTTGTAAGCAAACAGTACTACATATATGCATGCACAAAATATACGTTGAGAAAGGATTTTCTAAGTACTACTGCTATTGTAGGCAACTGTTCTTGGTAGTTGTCAATTGTCTGCATTGAAACATCTAGTTCTTGATTGTTGAAAGAGATCAATGAAAGTGCATCATGTAAGATACCCATTCTTTCTTCCTACCCTGTCAACCATGCAAACAAAGGTAGCAATTATAACCTTATCCTCAGAAGATTCTGAACCACCTCAAAATTTCAAATGCTGATATATACAGGTATACATTGTTAAAAAAAAATCAAAGTATGAAAACTTTAATCAAGAGCAGTGTTTCAGGTTTACCTGAAGTAGATTCAAGGGCCTGAGACTTGAAGTATTTTTTAAACCAAATGGAACACCTGTTAATACAATTCATGGTTATAACACGGAATTAAAACTATTACACATGAAAATATTTTACACTTTAGTATCTATAAATATAGCATTTTAAGTACTTTCTGCATAGATGTGCTTTATTTTCTGTACTTTTAAAATATCTTAAAAACAATATCCACCAATATTGAGATATGGAGCAGTACATGTACATTTTATTCTATATTTCAGAAACTGAGACTTCATCACTATTTTGACTGTTAACTTGAGAAGGTAATCTAGAAGTATGCAGAGACCATGAATATAATTAAACTATCAGTTATGCAAACACATTTCAGGTGTTGGCTTCTATTGACATTCCTCAGTGCTATACAGTACACGATAATCATAACAATCTTATCTCTGAGAACCAGTGTGCTCCTTACAATTATTTTAAAGTGCAAATGCTAATATTAATAATGCTAAAGAACACTGAATTTTGTATGTAGGATGAAACTGGAAGTCAGGAAACAATGCTGGTAATTTTGTGACAACAGAGAACACATCATAAATCTGGGGTTGGCAAACTTTTTCAGTAGGCTTTGTTGGCCACCTATAGCCACTGTTGCATATTCTTCCTCCTCATTTTTCTTTTTTACATTTTAAACACATCTTTAAAAATGTAAAATCATTTTTAGCTAATCACTGTAGATTATAGTTTGCTGACCCCAGTTTGTTTATTTTTCTCATTAACAATATACCAATTTGAACACTAATTTAAAATGTATCTAGTTCTAAGCAACTAATTGTATTTTAAAAAGGTCAGAGGCAGGCCCTGTATACCTAAATGTTGCAGGTTTGATTCCTGGTTAGGGTGCATAAGGGAGGCAACAGATGGATGTTTCTCTCTCACACAGATGTTTCTCTTTCTCTCTCCACTTCTCTCTCTCTAAAATCAATAAAAATATATCCTCTGATTAAGGATTACAATAAATCAAACAAACAAATAATAAAAAGGTAAGAGACATAAAATTTTTGTATAAAAAACTTAAAAAGCATAATCAGATGAAAATATAACAATACTGACTTTCAGGAATTCTCATAAAAAGAATTGACAAAACTCCCTTTAAAGGTAAATGACATCTGTATAAATGCTTACAGCTTAATGAAAGCACTTTCATATTACTTTGTTTATTTCTCTTAAATACCTACTAAAGTTAGATATCTTTACTCCCATTTTACAGCAAATAAAACTGAGGCTAAGGAAGAAAAACTGACTTCTTTCAGGCCCTACAGCTTCGGAAGGCACATGTAACTGGTAGAGTTACATGTAAATACGAACATTCTAAATTTAATATCTGATTCAATTTCCCGTGTTTCCACCGCTACAGCACATTTATGTATATTAAAATAAGAACATCAGCCAAAATTAGGGAATTACAGCAATATGTTAACATGCTTATATGATATTCTTTGGGCTCTCTTTCTCTTAAGTCAGCGATTTTCAACTGGTGTGCCACCAGAACTTTTAAAACATGCAACGGGAAGACCTCTTCTCCCTTAGATTGTCAAATTAAAAAATGACCACAGCCAACAGAACAGTAGCTGTCTGGTGTGACTGCCCTGTCTTGAACCATAAATATATAGGTCATATATTAGAGTTGCATCATAAGGTTATATCTGATTGGTTAATTCTTGGTACCAGAAATCCTTATATACAAGTATAGACACCTGAATTTTTTTATTCCTCACCCAAGAATATGTTTTTTATTGACTTTGGAGAGAGAGAGGAAGAGGGAGAGGTAGGGCAAAATATCAGTTGGTTGCCTCCTATACATGACAACCAGAAATCAAACCCACAACTTTTAGATGTATGGGACAATGCTCCAACCAACTGAGCCACCCGGCCAAGGCTAGACACTTGACTTTTTAAAAGTCACTTTGGAGCAAATAGGGTAGGTAATTACTATTATTTTTTTGTAAATCAATCAAAATTATACCTATTTTTTTGTCAGATCAGCAAAAAATATACTTTTGGTGTGCCACAGAACTTTAGTAATTAGTTTATGTGTGACATGACATAAAAAGGTTGAAAATAGCCATCTTAAGTCATATGAAGTTTTTGATTAATTTTCTTACTATGTCAAGTTTGTTTTTCCTATTAAACTTTTTCTCAGCAGTAGGAAACTGGATTGTGCCAAGAAATTACAATACATTCTCTTAAAGAGCATTAAAAAATAGCACAAACTGTTAAAACTGTTTTCCAGTATATGTAATAACAGTTACTACTACAATAAAACTATTACTAATAATGACAGCAAATATTTTTGAATGCTTAGGTCTAAGGCACAATTTAAGCACTTCATCTGTATATACTCATTTAATGCTCACAATTATGAGGTAATAAGGTATTATTATTATCGCCATTTTATTTATAAGAAAAGTGAGGCACAAAGGTAACTTTTCCATGACTACACAGCACGTTACACAATTCAAACTCAAGCAGTCTGGCTCCAGAACCTGGGCTTTTAACTCCCGTGCTATGTTGCATTTCTTGCACAATGTATGTTTTCAAGATACATTTCTTTCACCTGGAATAAGACTACACTGACAACAATAAGACTATCAATGTTAACTTTATTATAATATTTAGAAGGCAGAGATATAATTTGCAGAGACTTACAAACTTATCAAGTTCCTTCACAAAAGTTGAATGCTAGATGGGTTTTAATTCAAATATCAGAACTTTAAAGGTTTTCAACATAAAAGCCTTTCATTTAAAAAGAGCCTTTATGGCATGATACTACACAAAATAAGGAAGTTAAAAATAATAGCATTAAAATGACATTTTTACATTAGCATGTACTTTAACTTTTTTAGAGATTATTATACCCAATATTCTTACCTGCTTGAGAAGCTGCCTGCATTGTACCGGGCAATGCATTTGGTAGCAGACCTCCTGAGGGGAGAAGGCCACTCAGGTTTATTCCCGCAGGAGTTATGGCACCAGTGTTACAGCCCAGCATAGGGTTTGAACCACTCATCAAAGCCTGAGCTCCACTGCAGGAGAATAAGACAAAGCATTACTCTTGCACTCTAAAAGGAAAAACCAGACATATAATTCCTTAGATTAAAACCAAAACAAAACAAAACAAAAGCACTATTGAACAAACACAATTAGATAATTGTATCTTAAATATCAATTTCGAGGCTGTTTCATTTTTATTCTAGAAAGTGACAGCAAGGTTGGCCAAAATTAAGTACTGTATATTTATCAAGGTTAAAATATAATTTGAAAGAGTAAAGCACTGATCTAGGGATTAAAAGATGGTAACAGAAGATGAACAGAAAAATCTAAGCTACTGTCAAATATGTAGTAGTATTGTTTTAGTGCATATAACAGATGTATTACCTAAAATTAAAACATACTTGAATGAGACACCCTCTATCCATATCTAAAGTATTTTCTTTCAGTTTCAGTAATATGCAATTTATTCTTAATTTCACAAATGAGAATTCATTCAGGTTGATAAGAATATCTTTTTAAAAAATCAGGTGATCAATGAAAACTTACCAAACAGAGCCCACTACATTGATGAAGTTAAGTCCAGTAGAGTTTGCCATGACCTGGGTGGGTGTGGTTCCTGGAGTTATAGATGTTACCATGGTGGAAAGAGGAATGGTCGTTACAGGCATTGCCTGGCTCAGAGACCTTTGCTGCTGAGCAAACTGAGTTAACAAAGTGGGCTGAGGGGTGAAGCCTGAATCTTGGGGAGTAGGGGTGGCTGAAAGGGTAATAGGAGTTGAGCTCTGAGCATCAGGAGGGTGTGGGGTCGATGAAGGGGTTGGTGTAGGAGTAGATGGCTTAGGAGTTCCAGATCCTGCTCATTGAGAAAAATAAAAATTGCTAGTTTGTTATAAATGGCCAGTCTTTTTAAAAATAAGGTTAATGGAATCTTACTTAGCACTGACAATTTGTTCCAGTTTTTTTTTAAAGCAGTTAACTGCAAGTGTTAATTTCTACACATGATACACGAGTGTTGCTACACTCAATTACAATTAAGGATGCAGTATATCACCTAAAAATTCCATCAGATGTTATTATATTAACAGTAAAAATATACATTTGTATTCTATCACAATACCCATTTAAAGTTATTTTCCTATATGCTATCTTTGGCCTAAAAAGTTTAAAAGGAATTCAAATTAATTTTTTGTTATTTATGATTTCACTAATTTAAGATTTCACTTAAAAATACTGCTTATTTTCTAACAGTCTGAGATAAACTCTGAACATATTTAATAAATTACATATGGTTAACAGTCATATATTTGGCACCTAAATATACATGTTTAATTCCTAACGCATCAAGTTTATCCTAAAAAACAAATTTAAGAAATACAGTAATAAAACAAATACTTGATAGATAATACTGCATCTTTAACAGTAACTGTGTACTTCTGTTTAAATGTAGATGTATAGAAAATCTGTTGTGAATGAAGTATGCACAGTTTATCAACTTTTTAAGAAAACAAAACAAAAAAACCAAAAAAAAAACCAAAAACCAAAAGCTCTTGAGGTGTTTTCTTTTTTAGCTTTCATGTCCTGCAGAAAGAAAGGAAAGAAATGTGAATGTCCAGAAGCTGTCACTCAACCCTTACTTAAAGTAACAACTGTGTGCAGTAGATTAACATAATTCATACCCACAACATAAGAAGTGTGAATAAGACTTTCAGGAAATTTATGAATTTTTCTTTGTGCAAAACAAGAAGGCAGAAAAATTACACCTTTTGAGCTATCAAGATGAAGATGTTTATATCTAATGCGAAGACCACCCTATCACTGTGCAGTGTACTAAAACTTTTAGCACACTTTAATTACCTATAAAAAAAATCTAAAAAACTGGAATGCTTTTTTGCAAATTGGCACCAAAATATCTCAGATATTTATTAATCTGAATAAATTCTCCCAAAAGAATTCGTGTACAACTCTTAATGGTTAAAAAAAAAAAAGTATTCAGTACTAAAAATTACATTTTAGTATCTTCAGAACAATGCTTTAATGCTTTATGATCATCACCACATTTACGTAACTGACAACAATTTTTAAGAGTGTTGAGTGTTTTTGAAAAATTAGCTTTCAGTTTATTGTATCACCACCTTGGAAATAGTTGGCTTCTTACAAAGATACAAAGATAGGACTGACAATAACTCTTATGACTTTTTTTTTCCATATCAGCAGCATAGTTTACGTAAAATATAAAATGATCCTAAGGTACACTGAAATAAAAAATATTTTGGAATCTTATCTCCACATCTAACTACCAGATTTTTAAAAAGGAGATGTATAGGTTGTACGTCTATAAGAAAGGTATACACGAAGTGCATACAGAAAAACAGAAAAACAAATACAATTACATTAAACACGTAATACATACAATCGACAAGAGATTTGCCTCAGGTTTCTCAAAACTTAAATATTTTGGGTACACGGTCCATTCAGACTTCAGTATTTCACTGGTCAAAAAAAGCTGTCCAAGAAACACTAATGCTAAAGCTTATGAAGAGTTAATGTAAGAATTTAAATCAGGACTCACTTTGTGATGAACTGGCAGGTGACAGGGCAGCTGGAGAAAGCATGCTAACTTGACTGAGATCCACAGATGACTTCCGAGAAAGACTTGGTGGCTTAGAAGCAGGAGGAGGAGTTGGAGATTTAAGAAAGCTGCTGGCCTGTTGTGGTGTAAAATAGTTACCTAGAATATAAAATGATTTCCTATATTTGAAAATTCTGTGAAAATCAAAATGTAAGTTTTAAAAACAAGTTATCATTGCATGATGTTTCTTACCCTAGATTACAGGAAACTAAGGAATATAATACCTGAGGAACTATTTCCTGAGCTTGAGGGAAATTTGATGGGTGGAGGTCGATGTTTTATTCCTTTTCCCAGTACTGAAGACTGAACCGACAGGGTCTCAGGCTGCTAAGGAACAAAGACATTAAGTATATTTGTTAAACTTAAAGTCAAATCAGTATCTCATATATTAATACCACTCTAACTCCCAGAGGAAAAAACATTTTAAAACTGCAAAGTACTCTCAGTGGTTATAGGCTGACTATTAGAGATGTTACAGGAGAATATAATTTCAAGTAAGGAGATCCATGAATTAACTTACAGTACATAAACAATGAAGGAAAAATTTCCGAGTAAGAGGGTGGGGAGAAAGAGTTTGAGAGAGGGGTAGAGGAGTAAAATGGAGACAAGCTTCATCCTCAACAGTTGAAGACAGGTGATTTATATACACAGGTGTTAATTATACTTTTTGCTCTACCGTTGTGTATATTTGAAAATTTCCATTATAAAGAGTTACATAAAAAAATTAAGTTAAAAGCAAAATCAAAACTAAACAATACCTCTATCCCTCAAAAAATAGTCTTTAACATATCTCAGATTCCTTGAGAAACAATTTGGCACAAAAAACTAATAGCATAAATGTTTGGCACAAAAAAGTAAACAAACACACTTCTGTTTCTTTCCCTGGAGAAAGCTGACTCAAGCTGGCTGAGCCACTGGAGCTGTGCGACATCTTGACTGGACACTTAGCTTCATTCTGGACCAATTCCTGGTACTGATTAACTACCCTGAAATATTAGGGAAAAATAGGTAAGAATCAGTTAACTTTTTTTTTTAAATCCTCATCCAAGGGTATTTTTTCCATTGCTTTTCAGAGAAAGTGAAAGGAGGGGAGAGAGAAACATCGATGTGAGGGAGACACTGATTGGTTGCCTCCCACACGCACATGCGGGCTGGGGATTGAGCCTACAACTGAGGTACGCACCCTTGGCAGCAATCGAAACCAGGACCCTTCGGTCTGAGGGCCAATGTTCTAACCATTGAGCAAACTGGTTAGGGCTCAGTTAACTCTTTTAAACATAAATTTATTACATAAAAAATGAATAATAACTGTCAATTGAAAAGTTCCATCAAATTAACACAAAAATTAAAATCTGACAGTTTACCTTTTTGTTAAAAGTACACTCTTCTAATCTTTTCAATGACAAACTAATGCTAAAAATATTTTGCAGTTAAATTAACAATCTTAAGATAGACTTTCAGTATCTTATTTACAGAAAACACAGGGGTTATTTAACCAATAAGTAGACAAAATAATGACCACTTTCACTTAACATTCTGATTAAAGTGCTACCTAGAAAGCACCTTCCTTACCTACCATAGATTATGTCTACATTTCCTTTTTTAAAATAAAACTGTATTTTAAACATTATTGTTAGTTTCCTAATTATTTTTTAAAAAATCCTAGTAAAACCTATGGCATAATTAAAATCAAACTTTTGCTTCCTAATGAAGTACTCTCTATCCTCTAAGAGGGAAGTTTTCATATTCATCCAGATCAAAAATAAAGATGCTAGTAATTTTACCTCTCAGCATCAGTCTTTGATCCAATAATGAACCTAAAATGTTTAAAAAAAAAAAAGAAAAGTATTAGATAAGAGAACTCCTGTTCTCTTAGGGAACACTGCGATTACTTTTGAAAGCTTCCATATTTTACTGACAGTGATTTTATAAATTAAAATCTACCAAGATATGAAAAAAATTAAAAATACACTTAAACTTGTGAAGCAGTGACAAAGTTTTGCATGCAATAAAATAATATTATTAATAATTTGGCTGGTTTAAGTTAAGGGAGATTTATTTTGCCACAACACTTAAGTATCAAAACAAAATCTGGGCTGAAAGTTACCAAGTGCTATACACCCTTGCAAAAGTGTCTGCCCTACAGCAAAATGCACTGAACTATGTGTGCAAGGCTTTCCTCTCACTTTAACCTTTGATTTTAGAAGTCAGTCTATGTAGCAGGAACATAGAATATATTTTAGACAAGGAAGAGTTTATTGCCAATTCAGATAAAATGTCTTTATCACATCTTTAAAGAGTTTGACATTTATGTGATTTCTTAACTAATTAAAATAGATTGTTTATTTTTTAATTACCAATTTGAATGATCATCTGTGGAGGAGCTGAAATACAAAATGTAAAAAAAGAAAAAACCTGGTTAATGCAGCTCAAACTTTAACTTCATAGTTATTAAGTCAAGTAATTTATGAAAGTGGAGAATAACTGAAAGATAATAAACCATGCAGCATTTTGCAGCAACACCCTGATGTAAAGACAAAAAATTCAATTTTCTTCTTGTCAAACAAACCTTATCAGTTGGTTTTTTGAAGTAATTTTTAAAAATGAGAATATATGTTACTCTCTTGTGTTAGAGAAAAATTAATAAATTTATTTAAAATGACCAATGTATATCTTTAAGGGGATGATTTTTAAAAATATAGGTAATCAAAATACCGGATCTTTCCACTTAGTATACAACAATAGAAGCTGCTAATGTAAAAAATTAGCTGAGACTTCCTGTCTGCTACTGTTCCCTCCCACTGACTTTTACTTTGGTATCAGTGAGGTTACTCTTTAAAATCCACCTTTCGGCTGCATTTTCAATTAGTATTTTGTGTACATAAAAGCTTTATAAATGATTTAACATAGACCTGGTCCCTGCCTTTTTCTGCTGAGCTCCTCATTGTTTTTTCTTCTTTTCAAAATATCATCAACTTGATTAAAAAACAAAACTAATAAAAACAAAACTAAATATTGGTACCTTGTACTAAATGTATGCAGTTCATAAATTTAGGAAAATCAACTCTATATATTTCTAGAGCCAATAACTACATTAAGTACCAAGTCTGTGTTCTTAAATGCAGTGCCGAAATACCTAGCATTTTTAATAGCTATGACATTTACAGTAAACTTGCTTCTCATTTAAACAAAATATTGTCTGGAAACACTTCATACTCAGAGAGGTTAAAGTCGTAAGTGGCAACACATAAATATACTAAGAGGGATATCACAGGCATATCCTTCAAAGCAAGTATAAAAATAATTATACCATAAGTTTAAAAAAATTATTGTTACTTTAAAGTAATTATTGGAAAACATGTTAACTACTATTTAGGTCCACTGCCAAATCTAACAAATGAATCCCCAAGGGGAAAGTTTTATTCATTTATAGTTTATCAGTAGTTGCTAAATAAATTCTGATGGTTGATTTTGTCAATTACATGTATTTAACAGAACTCACTGGGATGGCGACATCTGGCTGTCAGTTTCTTCATCTTCTTTACATGGCTGAATTTTACCATAGTAAAGTGGATCACCAAGTGACTGCAAAATGGTCAGCTTTGTTTTCTGATTACCAGCTTCACATTCAAATACATAATCATCTTTTATATCCTGAAAAAGACAGAACATCCCAGCATGAACAAAAAGGGGCTACCTGGCAGACCTGACAAACTCAATAACTGAAAGTAACAACATGGGATGTTCTGATTATAAAAACTCCTAACTGAGCATGTTATAACGGAAGTCACATCCTATTTATGACAGATTAATCTTTATGTTAAGCAAACCTTACCCATTGTTTTTGTGCATCTAGGATAACATACTTACAATATCAGAACGATCTCTTCTCCAGACCTCCAGAGATAAACACCCCAGTACCGGGATGAGACAATCCCAACATTCCTCTTTCACCTGCATACCTCTACAAACCATGTTATGTTCAGTGTTAACTATCCTGCAGCCATTATTATAAAAAAAAACATGTATCACTCCATTTTACTTTTTATCCAACCCTAGAGATTTCCCTGCTTTACCTTCTCCTGCCTCCCTAATTTACCACCAATGGATTTCATGTAACCTGACTTCTGTCTTCTCCTTTGATTAAAACATATAAAATAAACTATAAAACTGTTATTCCTTAAGTCATTTTCTCAATCTTTTGAGATTTTGCTTCTGGATCTGGCCTTCAGCTCTGGCTCAGATAAACTCTTTAAACCTTTCTTTAGGTTTAAAATTTCTTTCCTAGATACCAGGCAAACAAGCACAATCAGAATTAACAAAAATCAGATATAAATGACATACTAACATATCTGGCAATAGGACAACACATGGTACATAGGCCAATAAACCTATTTAAGACTGCTTGCCAGAATAAAGCCCAGGATTCTTTTTACATGCCACTTTGGGAATGACAGTTCCCCCGGGGAATTTAGTTAACAAAATCTGAGTGAAATATGGCAGAATATCATATACTGAACACATGAAAGCAAATGTTAAATATTTAAAAAAATAAAACTTTCAAAGGCCGGTTATTTCTACTTTGTCAGTTTTCCTGCTATTGCACACACAAAACATCTTAACATTTCACTTCTAGATTCACTTTATTTAATAAATTATGCCTATTTCTCCCTTTATGAAGTTATTATTGCAAATAAGGAAATTTACACAGACTATTTCTCTTAAGAGACATACTTAAAATATTTTACTAGTTACTAATTTGAAGCAAAACAAATCAGAACTACCAATATGCAACCAAAGCAAAAGTAAAAATGCAGTTATGCATTAAAATTGCCTTTTAAACTGGAAGCCACACTTTATATAAAACGAAACTAAACAGTTGTTCCTTTTTTTAATTCAGTGAACTCCCAGAAAGTCCTTTAAAAAAAAAAGATCACAAACTAAAGACAACTGTACTTCACATTTAATAAATTTAGATCCCAGATTAGAAACATTAGAAATGAAGACTGTAATGGTTACTTACATGGGCTGGCCAGACTGTTGGTTGTGAGTCATCAGATTTGATAGACTTTTCCACTTTAGCATATTTCTCCACCTAAGTAATCAAATCAAGAGACATAAGATATAATGGAATCGGGACTATTGCCAAAGAGAAGGATCTAAGTAACTTAACAATACAATATACTTTTTAGCACAAGAATTCCTGAATCACTAATATCACCAACTACTTATGCTTAAGTAGTTTAAAACTCTCCTGATATATTCAATTGAACCAAGTGATTTTCAAAATAAAACAAAATTAGAATCTTTTTGCCATTAAATAAACATAAGAAACACAGTGCCTTTTTAGACAGCACCTCTTCTTTTTATTTCATAAGTTGATATGACATTTGTTCTTTAGGAAAATCAGAATGTCAGAGAAATGACTAGGAAAAGGATCTTCTTTTCTTTTGGCTGAGTTTTTTATGACATAGGAGTTGTCACGTAACAGTTGATCAAATATGTGCAAACCTTTTCCAGTTTTTAGTCAGACTTGGGCCAAATATTTTGTAAATTTTATTTATTTCCTACTAGCCTGTGCAACTCAAATGCTCTCATCTTTCTGGTAACCATGATCTTAAGAGCAACTTAGACTCACTTGGGTACCTGGTAAAAATTTGGATTTCCAAGTCCCTACACTGGAGACCTGACTCAGTAAGAAGGTGTGAAGTGGAGCTTGAAATCTATATGTTTAACTGGTATCCTAGATGACTCTTTTGATTAAGTCAGATTGAGAAACTTTGTATTAGGGCTTTGTTACTCAAAGTGTGGTTTGTGGACCTCAGTGCCATGCAACCGAAGAGCTTGTCAGCACTGCCGCATCTCAGGCCTGAGACCAAGGTTGCTGAATTTGAATCTGCAAGCAACCCAGGTGATTAATATATACATTAAAGCTTGGTAAACACTGTTTTAGACATCCAGTCTGCCCTCAAAAGCTAAATTCCACCCTTTGGAATTCACACTAAATATCTCTTTCTCAGGCTGCATTCCTAGAGAAGTACGTAAGTTATCAAAAGATAATGTGGCTTACTCTCTTGAGTTGTATATGCAGTCTACTTCTGATGATTTTGGCTTTGTGCTTTTCATAATTTTTTTTTTTTTAAATCACAGATAATAAGAATAGTACATGTGTTAGCCTGAAAAGGATGCAGAAGAGCAAACATCTGTTAAATGACTAACTAATTATAAAGAGTTGAGTAAATCATAAAAAGAAATGCAGGAGAAAGAAATAGAAAAATAAAAGAATTAGAGACCACTCATCATAAGATCCCTTCCCTATCTTTGATCATATATGTTAAGGATCAGCAAAGCACACCACCCAAGGTTCTTCATCTTGGCCACTGCTCCAATATTGTTAATTTTTAAATTTACCCAGTTTGAGGAAAAGAAGCATTACCAGAAAATTATGATAAAATATGAAAAAAAGTAGTATAATGCACATCATATAAAATGTACCATCTTTTCCCACATTTCAAAATTCTTTGGTTATTATTCCTGCTCTAAACACAGATCTATATTAAGTAGTTACAGTCTTATTACACAAGTAAATGTGAAAGAATATAACTTCTAAAACTGAAGAGTTTATTTAAAAAACAATTCCTTTTGTTTTTCCAAAAGATTCTTTGTTTGCCCAAAGTATAATAAGCTACTATTAGTTACACTTAGGTACCTTACATGAAAATGAAATCATGAACTGACTTACATCCACTTCAGAAGGTATGGCCAAATTACAGGGACTCCGTTTCCACATATCTACACACTGAAAAGTAGAAAACAGCATAAATATACTGAAAATTAAAAATAAGGCAAGGCTTTTGGAATAATAAGCTTTGTTTAAAAAAATATATACTTACATTTCCTGCTTTAGAAATTTTGAGGTCATAATGCTGACCTGCTTTTCTTTCCTTTCTTTTTTGTATGAAATCAAGTAATTTTAGCTGAGGAGGAGGTGGACAGTGAGACAGATCCTGCTGTCGATTCAGAGACGACCTAGAATACCTCTTGAAATACCTGAAATATTAAGAGATTTGAAATAAACTAAGCTAATAAAAGAAATTCAGAGTAAGAACATGGGTTTAAATAAGTAAGCATTAAATATGTAATCTGTAGAATACCACCACTTGCCAACAATGTCCTAGGCACTGGTGAAATAAAAATGAACAAGACAAACGAAATTCAGGTATAAGCAGGTAAGATCATTTCAAACAGCAATAAGCAGTAGCAGAAAAAAACAGGCTACTGCAGTGACAGGGAGGGCAACATCAGGAAAGAGAAAAACTCAAGAAATGATATGTGACAGGAGACATGAATGACAAGAAGAAACCAGCTATGGAAAGCTCAGGGAATTAGTAAAGTAGAAAGAAGAATTTTAAAAGGTGCTGAGGTAGAAACAAACATTTTGTTTTAAAAACAGAAAAGGTAGGTGCACCAGGGTAACAGGAGATGAGGTCAGAGAACAAGGCCTTACAAATCAATGATAACACGTTTAGATTTAGTATGAAGAGTGCTGGAATGCTTTTAGAAAAATTTAAATAAGTGATGGCATGATCTGCTTTGATGTTTTTAAAATTACTCTGGTTTGCTTATGTGGTGAATAGACCATAAGGGAGCAGAGGTAGAGGCAGGAAGGCCAATCAGATAGAAATTTATTACAGAAGTTAAGATGAAGACGATTGTGTATTGGACTAAGGTACTGGCATTAGGCATGAAGAGATGTGGATAAGGATACAAGAATTTTTAGGGCTTCTGACAGATCCAATATGGCTTTTATATCACTATTCCCAAAGATGTACCGTTTCATCAGAATTATATTATTTCTGTTTTAATTCTCACCAGAGGATATTTTTTTCATTGCTTTTCAGAGAAAGTAGAGGGGGGATAGAGAGGGAGGGGGGAGGG